TGGCATATGTGATCAACGAGGCAAGCCAGGGGCAGCTGGTGGTGGCCGAGAGCGAGGCCCTGCAGAGCCTGCGGGAGGCGTGCGAGGCGGTGGGCGCCACCCTGGAGACCCTGCATTTCGGGAAACTGGACTTCGGGGAAACCGCCGTGCTGGACCGTTTCTACAACGCAGGTGAGTGGCAGCTTCCTCGCCGTGGCCGCCGCCGTGCTTCCCCTGACCGTCATCGTGGAGAATGTTTTGTTTTGTTTTTTTCATGGGCGGGAAGCAAGCTTCCTATTTACATCACGCTCCTTGGGAGCAACCTGAGAGGTTGCAGGACCGTCCTGCCGCCCGCCGCTCCTAACAGAGAGTGTGTGCTGGTGCAAAAGCCTGTATTTGTGCGGGAGATTTTGCTGATTTATGCGGCGGAGCCCCTGGGTCCAAGTCCAAGCCTTGAAGAACACTCTTTCAGTATTGCGAGATAATTGTTTCAATCAGTTCTTCAGTCAGTGTATAGTTAGTTCGGTTTTCCTTTTACACACACCTGTGGCCCTCCAAGGTGATGTTCTGTTCTCAGTGCAGTCTTAGGAGTATGGAACGCCTTATGCCAAGCAGTCATCTGCGTGCAGAGAGTATGTGTGTGAGTTTTCAAAGCATGGCCTGACCTTGCTCTACTCATTTCACCTTCAAGTTTTGGTGGCTTGAACGGTCAAATCACTACACCCTAGAGTAAAAAACTACTGTGGACTACACCAGATGTATGTGATCTTTGTTAGAATCCTGCCCAAAGAACCAGTTTAAAAAATAAACTACCCCAGATACTAATGGTGGGTTTTTGGGAAGGGTTTATAATTTAACATCTTTTAAAGAGTTCCTGTGCTATTTAAATGACAGAATCGTTTGGCCATTAAAGAGATTGCTAGCATAATCTATGAGAAGGGATGTCTCCCTTTTTAGCCTACTTCAGATTTCAGAGTGTTTTCATGACTGAAGCAACTGGCTGCCTCTTAGCAAGTGTCAGGGATGGCCAAGTGCTACTAAAATTCAATGAAATCAAGTAAATGGACGTGCTAATTTTTATAGTCATGGCTGTGGGAAACCTGGCTGCCTGTCTTCAAAGTCAGTAAGCTTCTTACATTTGTGATCGCAGGTTTTATATTTCAATCTAATTCTCTTACAGCCTCCCTTCCAAGCACCTGAAGTAGGCTTATGTCTGCTTTGGAATTCAGCCAAAGCTGAATATTTTAAGAACAAGAAGAACTTCATGTTAAGGAAGCCAGACTAAATAAACTGGGACTTTCTGGTTTGGGTATTTTTTAAACAGTCTTGTCTTCATAACTGAACATGAATGTAATATATTATAGCTTGGCTCTCGGGGTGGCTAGCTATAAAAATTACATAAACATAACTTTTCTAAAAATTATAGCGCTCTTATTTTTGGATTATAATTTGGAAGAAGCTTCAAAGAACCAAATGATATGAGAGGAAAAAAGCCAAATAAAAACTTGAGCTTATTTTTATTGCAATGATAGAGTGGGCATATTTTTCCTAGGAGTCCGGAAAAAAAATTCTTCAACCCTCAGCTAATATGAAGGAAACTTTCCTAACAAGGCTTTCCTCTGTTAGTCTCCAAATACCATCATTGCGGAAGGGAGGAAGGTTAGAAGAGTGCAGACACTGAACTCTATCTCACTTAGTCCTGTGCCCCAGCCTGGGAAAAGAATATTCCTTCCTTACTAGGTATACTAATCAATCCATCACTAATCCTAGGACTCATAGGCAGTGACTGGTCAGTGCACAGTGCTGACCATAAAGTTCATGGGGACCTCTGGCTGCCTTTATATAGGGCACCGTTGCTATTAGAATCAAAGGAAGTGCTCTGTTTGGGGATCCTGGGATCAGGAGTTGACAAAGGTCTTCAGAGACATTAGGTGCAGTGAGGAACAGTGAAATGGATGTGCTCTGGAGACTCCCTTGTTGGTGGCCAGCAACCAAAACCCACTGTTTCTTTCAACTTAGCCAGGCCTGTCTCGTCTCTGCCCAGCTAGAAATTATCTTTGTTTGTTAACTGTTTTGTTTTTCGAGAGAGGGTTTCTCTGTGTGGCCCTGGCTGTTCTAGAACTCGCTCGGTAGACCAGGCTGGCCTTGAACTCAGAGATCTGCCTGCCTGTGCCTCCCTAGTGCTGGGATTAAAAGTGTGTGCCACTGCCACCAGGCTGCTAGAAGATATTTTATTCGGCATGAAGCTGTGATGGAATAATGAGGATCGTGCCAGTTTTGTCCCTACCCTTTGTCTTTCTAAACTGAAGACTTTTTGGGCTTTGATAGTAGTCAAAACTTAGGTTTTCCCCTGATGTCTAAGAGAGTACTTAACTCTCCTTCTATATGCTCTGGCCAACTGTTTGTGGTTGGTGTTTTGTTTTCTGTCAGAGGCCAGATAGTAAATATTTGAGACTCTGCAGTCTTTCAAGTTTCTCTCACAGGTATGCAACTTTGCCATAAAAAGTCTCTAAAGAAATGATTGTGTCATTGAGGTTAGCCTGAGCTATACAGTGATTAAAAGACTAACCTGAGCTACACAATTTCAAAAATCAAAACCAAATGAAGCAAGCAAAGACAGTATGGCTGTGGATGATAAAAGTGTGCTAATTGACAGCTTTAGCTTGCAGGCTGGCTAAGCATGGAAACTGCAGGTCTCTGAGTCAGGGCCTTTTCTCTATACCTCTACCTTCATCTGTAGATTGGATCCTTATGATAACATTGCAAGGGCATGGCCCCTCCAGGTGGGCTAAGTGTTTATCCAGTTCTGCTTTGGATTATATACTTGTGAGAGAGGCTTTTTGTGCCTCCCAGTAGAGTTTCTTTATTTGCAAAGTTCACCAGGGCAGAAGGGAGAGAATTGAGTCAGATATCTAAGATCCCCCTGAATTCTGTGTATCTGTGAAAGCAAGAAAACGTGAATATTTGAACAGGAGCTTAGGGGTCTGGATTCTGGTCCTGTTTCTTCTGTAATTTTAAGTGAGTCATTTAAACTTTTAGGAGAGTAGATGGTTGGAATGACCTATTCTGTTCTTTAAAATTTCAATATTATTACTTCCGATGACTCACTGTACTTCATAGAGATTTGTAACTGCTTGTTTATGGCCTGTCCTTGGTCCTGAGGAGATCAGAGACAGTGGGAGGGTGGAGCCTATGATGGGGCTGTCACAGTCACAGAGCTTGTGTGAGGGTCACTCAGAAGCCACAGATTCTCAGCACTCAAAGGTAAGGTAGGTGGGTCGAATGGTACCTTTCTTATTTCCTTTTGGTTTGAGACAGGGTTTCTCTATGTAGCCCCATCTGTCCTGGAACTCCCATTGTAGACCAAGCTGGCCTCGAACTCAGAGATCCTCCTGCCTCTGCCTCCTGAGTGCTGGGATTAGAGGTGTGCCCCACCACTTCCAAGTCAAAGGATAGCTTTTTAAAGAACATGGCACCTGAAGTCAGGTGGGAGAATAAGCAAGGACGGCCCAACCTGGGTCTTATTTTGTTGTTGTGATTTCATCTCCTATGCTGGAAATCCTGCCTTGTGCATGATGGACAGGAGCTCTGAGACTGAGCTGCAGAAGCCCAGAGCCTGGGTCTCAGCATTTGGAAAGAAACGATGGATCTCAAGTAGTTCAGCTTAGTAAATTAATAATGGAATAAAGAGAGCTGGTATTGTTAGAATTTTCCTTGTTTTGTGTACTGATATCTGTTTAAAGAATACATTGGAATTAAACTTTCACTGGATTCTGGGTTTTATTGGTATTTATTCCGGTTTGTTTCTGGACTATGTTTGTTGTTCTCTTACTCTATATAGCTGACTCATGCTTAGTTAGTGTGGTTTTGAAAATCATTCATGCGTCTTAAAGATAGTTATGGCTTTATATATGAGAGTCTTGCTCAGAGACGGTAGACACCAAACCAAACCACATGTGCTTAAAGAACCTTGCATTGTAGGCAGTAAAATTCTGCAAAGGCTACAGGTGTCAGTGATAAAAGGTGTTGCCTTTGTGGACAGACCATAAGTGCTCAGATTTTGAACTTACTATGCAATGGAGAATGACCTTGAACTTCCCCATCTTCTAGCTTGAGTGCTGGGTTTATAGTCACCCATTTATGCAGCACAGGGGATCGAACCCAGGACTTTGTGCAAACTAGGCAAGCACTCTATTAACTGAGCAACATTTTCAACTCTTAAAAATACTTCATGGGCACTAGTTCTTTGTGTGTTGCTGGAATGGCCTTCACTGTCTCCTTATTTTGCTTATGAAAATACAGAACTATAAAGACGTGCTACGTGTTCATTCAGGTTAAATGATTTAAGATTGCTTCACACCTTTCCTTGGCATCAGTATAAGAGGTGGCAGATTCCGGAATCCGGCTTTGCTAGCTCAAGCATGTGGAACCCATTCACTACTCTAAACATTCAGGAAATGATGTTTCTGGTCCCTTACCCTGGGGTTTTGATATACTTTTCTGAGTCTTAGACCAGTGACTTTTGCTCTGATGCATCTCATCCATTGGTAGGAGGAACATCAACTTGGATAAGGGCAGGGGCTGAGAGAGGATGCAGGAAAAGAAGGGTGTTCAGTGAAAGAGGAGATACCAGCAAGATGTAGGAATACATTCACCTCTTTCAGCTTTCTTCCTCTCCTAACCTACTTAGGGCCTTCAGCTCCCTGCTGATGTAAGACTTGGGACCTTGATTGGCTCTAAGCCACCTATCTTCCTCTTGGTGGGCACTAGATTAGAAGATCTGCCCACTTCCCCCTTCCTTGCCATGAGCCATTTATTGCATCTGCCCGGGGCCTTCCTCTTAGCCTGACTCACTGAAGATTGCAATCTCCTGCTTGGTGTTTCACACTGTGGCAATAGTGGGGAGCCGGAAGGAAGCATGTGCTAGTTGAAATTTTAGGCACTTAGCTTTTCTATTTTCATCCACATTGTGTTTTCAGTGGAATCGAGTTTGCGCTAAAAGTGACCCTTACACTATTTTGCCAGAGTGGCTTCTGACCTTTCCAGGCTTTGCCTCATTTTCCTCCGGCTCACCTTCTTAGGACTTCCAGGTTTGTTTGGTAAAATAAAACACTGCCTTTGGACCCCTCTATCTTAGACTGATTTCTTGAAAGTCTTGCTGCTGACTTCTGCATTTCTGCTTTCAAGGCCAG